TGAAAAATCTTTGAGATACAATTCTTCCTGTAATTTTATGTGATTTAAAACAAAAAAATGTGGTGCTGAGGATTGAAGCCAAGGCCTTGTGCCTGCTAGGCAAGTGCTCTACTAAGCTGTATCCCCAGTGCTTATCTATATGATTCTTATAGCACAGGCTCATTGTACAAAGGAAAATTAGTCTCAGTCCCTATTTAAATGATCATACTTTGGACTATTGTTTAAATTGGACTTGTCTAATGACAGATGTTTTTGTAAATTTTGTACAAAGATGACATAATACTTTTTTCATGAGTGTTTGTGTGTGAATTATATAATCATTATTGGCTTTCAAAACTGAAATGTGACACGTTTAGTGAGCTATAAATGTGATGTCCTCCTTAGAAAAGATACTAGCATCCTTTCCAGTCTTTTTCCCTTAAAGTTGGACATGATAGCATGAAGAACAGGACTCACAGTCTAGACCAGACTAACTTTCCAATAGACTTCTTTAGCCGTAACCTGGTAAGAATCAGGTTTGGTCTTAGGGTGTTAAGGCTGTGAAACAGGGTGGGTACTTACTGCTAGCTCGGCACAGCAGTGTGAGTTTGCTGCCCTGACTGTGTGACTTTGGGGAACTCTGGTTTATATCTAAAAGCAGTTTTGATTTTGTGGAAGTAACTCCTGATTATGTGGACAAGCAGGGTAGGTAGATTTCAATCAAGACTCAAGTGCAATTAAGGAAATCCTAGAGTACAACATTCCTTCAAAGAGAAGAATTAAGTACTTGTAGAATATCCCAGCAGGAAGAGATTTGGAACAAATACAAGTTTTGACAAGTTTATACAGGTTTTATTAGTATTATTATTGGGGCTTTACTACTATGTGTTCATTTAAAATTTTAAGAAGAAACAAATATTCTAGATAAGGAGAGTTGGGTTCATTTTTTTCCTGCTATTAAATATAGATTTTTTTTCACAGAAGTCCTTTTTAAGTAAGTTTTGTTATAAAGGGGTGGGGGTGCATTTTCTAGATATGATCACTTTTGTAGAATGGGCAAGGAGAAGTAGATCCACCATTCTAAAAATAAAAACACTTAACTGTGCCTTCTTGGATTATAGAAGCAGGAATAATAAATTTGTTGGAACGGTGTTTCCTTTTTTTCTGATTCCTCTTACTTCTCCTTACCTGTGTCCTCTGTGAGTTGCTTTTTTCTGCCTGTCTGTATTCAAGTTCCTTTGGCCAAACCTCACATTTATCACCACTAAATGTATTTTCTGTCTTTTATGTTGTCACACTTTTGAAGTTACCTGAGTAAATATTTGACTGCCTTCTCATGCTTTTAAAATGAATGCAATGAAGAGCATTTAAAATATTTTAAAAGTTATTAAAGAGAGCAATGATGGAAACTAAGGACAAATTTAGTTGGAATGAAATTCTCTGTTAGGCTGTTTTTGTGGCACAGCCCACATAACCTTTCTCTTTTACAAAACATGGATAATAACCTACCTCACAGATGCGTGTGAGAGACTGTGTAAAGGCCCATGTTTAAATAGGGGTTTATACCCACGTATTTAAGGTAAACCCCATCCTTTTATAATATGTATCTTTGATACTGGTAGAGTGAGTGTCCTGACTTTTTTGATGAATCTTACATGGTAAGAACAGTGCTAAGAATGTTGAAGACCACAGTCTCACAAATCATGGTGTTTTTGCTTTAAGAGACAAATTACATTTCTCCAAAGCACCCAGTATTCATCATACATGTCTTTTGTGTTGACAAATATTGTTTTTTAGAATTTCTTCGAACATTGGTTGAAGCTGCCTTAATGTACCAAAAATACAGTGTTGTGTCAAGCCTGTTGACAAGCATCTATGGCTGTATACTGTTTTGATTGTTTAATGAAGTTGTGGATAGAATATGAAGAAGAGTATCTTGATACAGTTTTAGAAGGTGTGGTGTGTTCTTTATCATGTGTGTATAAATACTATGCAGTGGATTTTGAGCTCAACAAATAAAACTGAAAGTTGAAAGCTATTAGGTTTTAACTATGACAATCATAATATATGGTTGAATAGTAGTTATTTATTTTTCCCACAAAATGTCACATATTTATTTTTAACAGGTCTTTGAAAAAATATAAATGTCAGAGGCCAGAACATTAACACACTGGATTTTTTTAATGTGTTTTTTTTTTTCATATGTGTGTGCCAATCCTGGGCTTGAACTCCAGGCTTAGGCACTGTCCCTGAACTGTTTTGCTCAAGGATAGTGCTTTACCACTTGAGCAACAGCTCCACTTTTTGGTGATTAATTGGAGGTAAGAGTCGCACAAACTTTCTTGCTCAGGATGGCTTCAGATTGCAATCTTCAGATATCACCTTCCTAAGTAGCTAGGATTGCAGGTGTGAGCCACTATACTGGCACCTGGCTAAGATTAATTTTTGGAAATTGGGACCACTTTTTATAATCAGTTTTGGGTGGGGAAGCAAAGAAGACTTCCAGTGCTTTAATAAACATATACTCAAATTTCAGTTTTGTTTGTTATGTACCTTTGGGCGTGTTAAATGATGGGTGGGGAGGAAATGGGGTATTGTCAACTAGACAGTTCATAGCTAGAGGGTTTTTGCAGTGTTTGGACTGTATGGGACTCATCAGCAACAAACACAGGGTCTGATCACCTATATGCTTTTGTCACAAAATCAAATTAAAGTCTGGTTCATTTGAAAGCTGTTTTGTGTTTCTCTTCAGTCATTGAACTATTATGCTGTGTGTCAAATGACAGTTCTCGAGCAAGCTGTTGTAGAAAGAGACTCACTGGAGAGCTCACGCCATCTCTGTTCCCGCCTTCTGAGACACTCCACACTGTAGAGTTCAACTTTTGTTATCACATGACTTTGCTGTTGTAGCTATGACTACAGATAGAAGGACTCAACACACATTTATTATCTTATTCTTCCGAAGTCCAGTGGGTATAATTGGTTTTTTCTAAACAACTTCACAGAATTTTCTTAACTACTCAATAAAAACACCACAGGTTTATTATCATACAGTCACAAATCCGGTGGACTTAGTTTTATTGTTGTTGTTACTGTTTTCTACTTCAAGTCATACCAAGTGAAAACAAAATAGTTGATAGACCAGGGCTCTGTGGGAGAATCTGCTACCAGTTTATTCAGGTTTTTGGTAGAATTTAGTTCTGTGCTGCTAGAGGACAAGGCTCCTATTCCTTGCTGGCTGTGGGCTAGCTGTCATTTATAGTATTTAGAGGCCACTAGTCACTAGACAGAAGGTGCATTTTCCAGCTCTGTGCTGGAATTTCAGTATCATCATTTCTAATGCGTTTCTTGATCCTCTGGCCATTCCATTCACTACTTATGACATCTGTAATAAAATAATCTCTACCTATTTTCTTCTCTTAAACTCTGTTCTTTGATTCCTGTCTTGAAGACGGGTCTTTCTTGGCAAATGCCAGATGGAACACGAAATAGAAAATAAAAATATTATAATCTTAAAAAGTAGTCTCAGCATATGAAGGATAAGGCCATGGAAACAAATTCTTTTCTTTCCTTGAGGACCAGATCACTCTGTTTAAATAGCTGGGCAAACTTATTCAGTTACTCAGTGGAGATAAAGCCATTGAAATCTTAAAACAGTTGAATGCATATATATAATTTATTTATCAATCCACAGTACACATCATTTTAAAAATAGAGCGTCACAACTGTTTTAGTTTCCATTTGTTTTCATATAAATTAAATTCTATTTGAATAACTTTTGGGGCATACATAAATGAAGTTTTTCTGTTTGGGGTAATGGTGTTTTAAAGTTGTGCAGCATGTATAGTTTTGCTAAAAAAATTTTGTTAAATATATGTAGATTTGTCTTAAAATGATAATAGTTAGGAATAGTTAAGAATTAATTGAAGGGCTGGGAAGGTGGCTCAATGGTAGAGTGCTTGACTTGCATACATGAGGCCCTGGGTTCGATTCCTCAGCATCACATAAGCAAAAAGCTGGAAGTGGTGCTATGGCTCAAGTGGTAGAGTGCTAACCTTCAGCTGAAGAGCTGAGGGACAGCGCCCAGGACCAGAGTTCAGCTGCCCCCCCCAAAAAAAGAATTAATTGAAGAATAGTTTCTTTTTTGACAAACTTCCCAAAGGAAACTCAGGTTGAACAGTATTTAATCTGATTTTTTTCTTAAAAAAGGAAAACTAACACATTTATTTTAAAATTATACTTAGTATTTGAGTAAAAGAACATGGTTACATTATTTACTATGCAGAATGGATGCCAGATTTTTTTTTTGGATGCCAGATTTTAAATGTACAACATGTAGCATTACAAATGCTTGTGAACTAATATTAGGAGCCAACTAACCATCTGCACATCTGACTGGGTGCTATAATGCACGATTTCCAACTTTGGATATGGCTCATTAAGCAAGTGCTCAATGGCTAATGCATAGTCTTTCACATTCTCTTGAACTGGCAGTAAAAATAGACATTGAAAGATAAACTCAGGGAAGAAAAGCTGCTGTCTCCAGGAAGATGCTGCCTTTGTTTTCCTTCTCCGAGTTCCCAACAAAGTTTCATCACAGTCTGCTTGGACAAGCAACCAAGTTTGACAAGAAGCAAAGTTCTTGAGGGAGGGTTCTGGTCCTGGAGCCCTTAACACCTATTCAGGCCTTTGTCCTTCCCACTTGACCTTGACCTTCCTAATGTGACCAACCTTGGTGCCTGGGGATAAAAGAAAAATATTTTTTTTAAACAGAGGCTAATGGAACAGTGCAAGAGATTTCTGGAGAAATTCTTACCCAGTTTAGTATTATATGCTCCTTTAAAATATGCTTTGTCAGCTTAGGAGACACAAAAATATCTCTTTCAAGGCAGTCTTTATAGGAGAGATCAGACACCGCATGCATAGTTTTTAATAAATTGAATAATCTTGCCCCCAGACTAATAGCTGCACACCATCATATTAAGTACTAAGAATGAATGATTTGAAGTATAAAAATCAACTTACTGGAACTGTAGATGTTCAATGAGCACATATCCATCTGTAGGGATAAAAGTCACTTAATCTGAAGTCTTCACAGAAAATGCTTAAATTTTTTTACTTTTAATAGTGATTGGAAATTTTATGGGCAGAAAGCCAACACACTTACATTTGCCTTTAGAATTGCGGCATATCACCATATTTTGCTCCGTGGTATCGATGACCTCCAGTTGTTCTCCAGAAGTTATTGGCAAATCGAATATTCCATTTCTTGAGTTACTGGAACACGCTACTGCTCTGTTGATGACTACAATCTCTTTGTCATACTACAATGAAAAATTCCATCATTGTTACTCTTTTTCATTATGACAAAATTAGTGGAGGATATAGTATAGTAACCTTAATATTAAGTCAGTATGCTAGATATTGACTAATACTTGGAGGAGCATTGAAAATAATAGGAACATAGACTCTGCAAGGAAAGACAATTAAGAGTAAAGCACTATACTCTTACATTTGTTTGGCCTGATGATATTTGCACTATGCTTTTTACATTCACTGTCTAGTCGTAGTGGAATGAATCCTGCCAGATAGAAGATGTGGAAATGTGCTATTACAGTCATAGCCCTGTTTCTGTGCCACGGAGTTTATAATATCTACCATTTGTGGTTGTGTATGTGTACCTTCCTAGTTGTGTATGCTTGTGCATTATAGCACAATGCACTGTAGCATATGTACTTCAGTGGTAGGAACTGGGGACATGGCAGGGGTAATTCTCATTCCTACTTCAGTGAGAGGCTGGCATTTGTAAATGATAGGAAATTGGATTTCTAATTCCATAGGGGGGG